GCTGTATGAGATGTCTATCATCACTGTGTTCACTTCCTTCTCATTCTTTCTTGAAAACACCCCCTTCCGGCTTCCTATCCCCACCACATCACTGAGGCTGGTGGTCTCATCAAGGTCATCAATGCTCTCCATGTAGGAAGATCCAATGGTCATGTCTCTGTTCTCATCTAACTTGACCTCTCAGGAATATTCCGTATGACTGGCCACTCTCTCCTTTACACCCTTTGCTTCCATGACAGCATATTCTCTGGACTTTCGTCCTGTCCCAGTGGCCAGCCCTTCTAATTTTTACTGGTTCTTTTCTGCTCAAAAGGTTGTTAAGTGCCAAAGGCCTCTGACCTAGGCCCCCTTTCTCTTCCTGTACATTCTCTTCCCCAGGGCATCTCACCAAGTCCTGTGCTTTAAAAGTTCTAATGTGCTAATAAAGTCTAAATAAGCTAATGAAGTGCTATTAAGTCTTTATCTGCAGCCTGGATGACTTAAAAAAAAAATCCAGACTAAAATATCCAAATGTCCTACTCAGATGCCTAACAGGCATTTGAAACTTGGTATGTCATGGTAAAAATAGAACTCTTGACTTTGAACCTCCAAACTAGCTCAGTTGTAACAAGAAAAAATTCTAGACATGAACTTTGATTCCTCAATACTGTTCCTCACATCTTTTGACTTTACCTCTAAAACATAGCCCAAACTAGTTTCCTTCTCTGCATCTCATCACCTTATTCAAGTCATCACCTCTTGCTTGTATGGGAGTTTCCTAACTGTTCTTGCTCTTCTATAATCCGTACTATTAGCCAGTGACTTTTAAAATTACCAGAGAAACCACCTTCTAGCATCCCACCTAGAGTAAAAGTCAAGTTCCTTACACTTTTAAAAGTCCCTTCAATTATCCAATTCCTGCCTCTTTACAACCTACTTGCTCATTCTCTCCTTCCCCCTACCCCCATTCACATAAACCATTGCTAGGGATTCTCCCATGGCTGGCTCTTTCATCTCTTGTATTGTAAGTTAAATTTCACCTCCTTAGAAACCTTCCCTGATCCCCTAATACAAAATAGTTTTAGCATTTACCCTCTCTTAGAACTTACTCATATTTTTATTTTCATTTTCACTCTAATTATAAACTCTATGAGAGGAGAGTTTTTGTCTGTTTTGTTCTCCACAGTAACCCCCTCCTCAGTGCCTTGAACATGACTTGGCGTAGTGCAGGATGAAGTATACTGAATGTAAAGATACTTGAGTCACTCAAAGGTGGCTTGAATAGCAGTACTAGTAAAAAAAAAAAAACTGGAAACCACTGGATTTTTTTTATTTTATAGCCATATATCTTCCCAATGGGTTTCAGTCCCGGGCAAGTTCCCTATGGATTTAGTGTAACCAAAGGAATTGACAGCAAAACATTCTTGGGGTGAAAGGATTTATTACCCGGCTTATTCTCTGGTGGTAGGTCGAGCACTAGCATCTCTGCCTCTGCCCAGAGCACTGGGCCGAGCTCTCTACATAGTGCAACAATAGCTTATTGCCTGTAGGTGTGGAAGCAGCAGCCCAGCCAACAGGCCAGTTACATCATCAGGTGGTTTAAGTTCAGTGAACATCCTGGCCATAGGAACCCCAACTTCCCCACACCATACAATGTATACAACCATTTAAAACTATGAGGTCAATCTATAAATGCTGGTACAGAAATAATGTCCAAGATGTGTTTATATAGTGTGCTAGGAAGTGAAGCTTCCTGCCAACAGCCAGCACCATTTTGCAGCCCTGTGAGGGAGCCACACTGAGGATCCTTCCGCCCATCAAGCCTTCAGAGGACTGCAGCCTTATGTGATGCCAAGCCAGAACCATCTGGTTAAACTTCTCCTGAATTCAAGACCCACAGAAACTGGTTAGTAAATGTTTACTGTTTTAAGCCACTAAGTTTTTGGGTAAGTTGTTATAAATATATATATATTATAAACAGTTGAAAGGAAAATGTAAATTCCATGGCCAGGATCCTCACCTGATACCTATTATGTGTGTGCCCTGTGGTCATACTTAGCCTACTGCAAAGGCGCATGCTTGCATAGCAGCGGGCAATAAGCTATTAGAGCAGGTATTGTTTTAAGGAAGAGTTCAGCCAGGTGCTAAGAGCAGAGGAAGCGGGAGACTAGAGCCTAGAGAAGAGAACTAGAGAGCAGTAGAGAGGAAAGCAGAGGCTGAAGGCATGGGCAGAGTCTGGGGCCAAAGCTGAGCCGGAAGCAGAGACAGGAGCACGGGATTCTAGCACTCAACCTGCCCCTGGGAGAGTAAAGCTTGGTATGAGTCTCTTTACCGCCAACGTTCCGTTGTTATTCAGTCTCACCATATCCAGAGTGAACTTGACTACGGCTGACACCCTCAGACAAGACAACAATGTAACTCGTTTTACTTTTAAAAAAGTATATAGGTACACATGCTTATACATGCATAGAAAATATCTCAAAAGATAGACAAGCCTGGGTTCTGACAACGGTGGGTAGCAAGAGGATATGTTCACTTTTCACCATATGCTTTTGTATTCTCAGATTTGTAACAGCCACTTCTTTCATAGTTTTAGCAAGTGTACTAAAAAGTTTAAGTAAAGCAGTGTTTAAGAGTGATGAGCCACAACAGTGGCCCTTCCTAAGCCTTCTTGTCTTTCATGTTTCCCTTTCTCCCACTCTCAAGACCTGGCTTTGGAATAGGCTATTCACTAAAGACTTTACAGCAGCCCAAATACTGGAGGATTGTTAATACTGATGGATTTCACCAAGAATCAACTCCATGACGAGACCACTGCTAAGGCTGGAATCCTGATTTCATTTGCATTTAATAAGGCAGTCACATTGTCTAACTGTATGGGAAGAACAAATGAACGCTTCAAAACACTGCTGCTGGCTTGCTGAGAGTTGATGGACCCCACAGGCTGACTGCGGTTTCTGCAGGAAGTGGTGTCCTGTAATTCCTGTTGTACCTAATTTCTCAACAATAAAGACAGAAACTGGGAAATAATTCATACACTGACCAACTGGTAGAGACAAAGGCAGGTCACACCCTAGCCAGCTCATATTCCCCCCTCAATAAAGACAAGGTGTGGTCCCAGTGACTCCAATTATTTACATTCAAATACAACCACCATCTCAGGGAAGTTCCAGAGCTTGAATAAAATTGAGGACTTGATCCTTTGAGGTTTGTTCTTTTAAATTCAGAACTGGGGGTGGGGGAGGGAGGGCACACATGCCCTTTGACTAGAATGGAATCAGAAATTTCCATCCATACTTGGCAGCGCAGGCCTGTAATTTTAATCAATGAGAATGGGGGCCAGCAGAGACTTTTACTTTTGATTCTGAAATGTCCCAGTCCTCTCAAAGGCCTCCAAAGGGTTAAAGTTTCAGGAACAAAGCTGTAATCATTAAACTATGCATGCTGATGAGATTATAGCCCCAGGACTTACAGAATCTTGATAACCAGGAAATTAATTATATCTGAAACTCCTGCTGCCAACAACTGGAAAGACACACAAGGCAATTCCCCTAAAACAAGTCCAATGGAGTCGGGTTAGCATTAGTGCCCCCGCACAGGGGGACTCATCCACATCGCTTCCAACTAGCAAGGCCCTTAAATTTGAATGGGGCCAGTGGAGTGCAAGATATTCAAATATTCAGGTAAGTTTAAAAAACTCAAACCACAAAAGGAGAGTTAACAGAAAAGCCAAGACACACCACACGCAGGGCCCTTCTCTGTGCAGGGGCCAGAGTTCCTCAGACCTCTACCCAGGGGCCTAATTCCATCAGACCCGGGGTTGGGGAACCTCTTCTCAGGGGCAAAGGAAATGGAATGACTTGAAAAACCTTTGCTTCAGCAAAGACACATTCTTAGGGTTCTATCTCAAATCATTCCTTTTACACTTTTCAAGGCACATTCAAAGACATGGTGAAAATGACCCCAAAATCTTTGAGTTTGCTAGGAGACTCAAAGCAAAGCCAGTGAAGGGTAAGGCGTGAACTGGCCCTGAAGTGACAGGGCACATCAGTAATAAGATCACACTGACAGTCAGAGAGTGAGAACAATAATGCAACATAAAATTCATGAGGGCATAAATGTGCCAAACCTTTAAATTCTCATAACTCTGAGGAAGACATTATTATCCTCATTTTGCAAATGAGGAAATTGTCTTCCCTAAGGTTATAAAACAAATGATGGAGTCAGAATTCAGCCTCATCTGGAAGCTCAGGACCTGCACTCTTAGCCACTAGGCTGTGCTGCTCTAACACAAATTAAAATAACATGAGATTTTTTTCCCAGCCGGAGTGGCAAAATTTCCAAAGATTGATGGATCAAGCATGTATGAGCATTTCAGGGAAGAGGTGCAAGCATACTATTTTGGTAGAATACATTACTGAAGGCAATTTGGCAAGAGTAACCAAAACTTAAAACGGTCACCTGACTTTTGACCTGGCCATTCTACTTCCAGGAACTTACCCTACAGAAATACTCACAAACATGTCTGCATACAGATCATCAGTGTAGGACTGTTTTAATAGCAAAAAAACAAAATAAGAAAGACTTTTAGGAGTCATCAGTAAGGAAATGACTGAATACATCACAATATGTCCAAAATATCGAACACGCTGTATTGTGTATAAATGGAGGTCAACCTATATATGCAGATGTGGGAAGAATTCTAAAATGTTATTGAGAAACAATTGTCACAGAACAATATGTACAGTATGGCCTTATTTATTTTTAAAAAATGGTCTGAGCCAAATAATGACTCTATAGCATCTTAGTACACTGAGGAACAGTGACTGCAATGGGGTGGGGAGGCACTTGATACTGTGGGTGAATGCTGAAACCATAATGTTGCTCATGTGAAACCTTCATAAGATTGTATATGACACCTTAGTAAAAAAAATGGTCTGAGCATCACATCACTTCTTAGGAGAGTAAAGCTAGTGCTTCCCTTCTCCCACTCCCACAAAAAAATAAAACACACACAAAAAAACCATATACAACTCAGAAATGAGTCATGTTATTCATAAATCAACCGTATAATAATTTTTACAGTCACTAATACAACAGTTATAAAGCCAGTTTGGAGTTAAGTACCTCTTAAATATATTGTACATATCCACTTTAGCATTCTTTTCCAAACAGATATGGTTCAAACCCAGTGAAGACCTTAAAATTTCATATCTGGTAACAAGTGAACAAAACTGACAAATAGTCCAATAATAATTTCTAAAAATATTAAGTGGTAAATGTCATTTGTAGTTGTGAAATGGTCTATTACTCAGACTATCTCTGAGTACTTTGCTGAAGTCAGTAAGACACTACACAGAATTAGTATTTCCACAATTAAAATCCTCATTGTACAGCTGTACCTCAGAGGTACTGGGAATTGGGTTGTGACCACTGTAATAAGGCAAATATCACAATAAAGCAAGTCAAATGAATTTTTTGGTTTCCCGGTCCATATAAGTTATATTCATACTATCTACTAAGTGTGCAACAGCATTATGTCTAAAAAAGCAATGCACATACCTTAATTAAAAAGTACATCACTGCTGAAAAATGCTAACCATCATGTGCACTTTTAGCTCATAATCATAATTAAAGTCAGAATCACTGATCAAAGATGACAGCGAATATAAAGTCTGAAATATGTTGAGAATTACTGAAATGTGGCAGAGACATGAAGTGAGAAAATACTGTAGGAAAAATGGCACCAACAGACTGGTTCAACTCTGGGTTGCCACAATCTTCAATCTGTAAAAAACACAGTATCTATGAAGTACAATAAAGCAAGGCACAAAAAAATGAGGTATGCCTGTATTTTTCTTGAATATGATACATATAAAAGCTCAACAGATTAATAAAGAAATAACAAAGTCCCAGTAAGACAACAAACAGATTTTGTTACAAGAATAACTAAGAGACACAAAGCATTGTTTGATTCTCTTCAAAAACTACTGCAGCACCTTGTCAACTAGCAGTGACACCCAGACCAGTGTCCCCAAACCTTGGGGTGCCTGAACATCATGCAGAGGCTTGTTAAAATGCAGGCTCCTGGGCCCTGTTCCCCGGTTGTGAACTTGAATTCCTGAGTCTGCCAAGTCCACATTTTTAAACAGCATTCACAATGATTCTGATGAAGTGGTACAAGAACCCCAAAGAACATTCTAATTCTACTGTCCAATCTAACACGCTGCCATTGCCTGGAAACTGACTCTGGGGAGCTTCCATCACCTCTTTAGTTCTCTCATCTGTAAAGTCAGTCAATAGTACTGATCATCTCTGAGGGCTCTTAAGCTCTAATAAGGCTGTGAATGACCCCAGATGTAAAAGAAATGTAGTTTCAGTAAGCAATTGTGTCTTCCTGCCAACACCAGTTTTCAGAATCACTAAGATTCTGCCTTTTCGCCATCTTCTGAAAAGGCTGCTCTGTCAATTCTACTCCTGGGAGCACCTGAGTAGAGGAATTCTGAAACTGCTGTGTGTGTTAAGCTGGGGGACATTCCTCGTGCAAACAGTGAAGCTCCCAGCCATCCTGAGAGCTGCTGCATATACAGGATATGCAATGAGACCCACTTAGTTAGGTAAACAACAAGAAACATCCCCATATCATTAAGCAAACTGCAAAACCATAAAACTCCCATCAGAGAGGCTGGAAAACTCAATACGAGGTTTTAACGATTGTTGAACTTGAAGAGTAGGAGCTGGATTTCCCAGAGAATTTCTTTGATGTGAGGGATATCTGCATCCGCTTTACAGTACGGACACTTCGACAAAGGAGAGCGTTCTTTGCATGATCCCTGAAGTCTTGTGAAACAAAGTAATAGACAAAGGGATCAATGCAGCTGTTGAGGGAGGACAGGCAGAGGGCTACAATATACAGGGCATAGACATGGCTCTGGTTCCAGTTTTTTATCAGGAAATAATGCACCACAAGCAGAAGGTTACTAGGAGTGAAGCAAATCAGGTACATGGCCAGGACAGTGATGATGAGTTTGACGGCTCTCTGCCTCTTCTTTTCGGAGTTTTCATCCATGGTAGAAGATCGGAGTGCTCTGATCATCAGCACATAGACAGAGGCTGTGAGGAAGGCTGGGAACATAAAGACTCCGATGGCCAGGGAGAGGAAATAATTGAACATGTCCCCCACCAACACTTCCTGAGGCAAAACATCATGGCAGGTTGTGATGTTGAGGGCTGGAATGTAGGTAGTCTGCTTCACGACATACAAAGGGATGGTAACCAGCAGAATCAACAGCCATATTCCCAGAGAGACACCAATGGCGATGTTTGCCTTCCTCCTGGGATGCACCATGGGATTCACAATGACCCAATACCTCTGCACACTGAGGCAGGTCATGAAGAGAATGGAACAGTACATGTTGCCATAGAAAAAGCCAATAAGTACCTTGCAAAGAGCTTCCCCATATGCCCAGTGGTTGCCACGTATGTGATAGGCAATCTTCAAAGGGAACCAGATAACAGAGAGGAGATCAGCCAGGGCCAGATTGGCCATGTACACCACAGCTGGGTGCTTCTTCTTTGTTCGGAAAAGGAAGACCCACAGGGCCATGCCATTGCTGGGCAGACCAACCACAAACACGATTGTGTAGACAATTGGAAGAAAGACAGTAGTTAGTTTTCCAGTGAGGACGGAGGTAGAAAACTCATCCACGGAAAAACCTGGTTCCACTGAGACTCCTTTCCCGGTGATAGGAGATGAGCTATTCATCTTACCGATGAGACTTCGCCCTTTAGAGGATCTATTGGTTCCTGTGCAGGAAAGGCAAGGCAGAAAAGGGTCATTACAGAATCATCGTTTTGTAGCAATGCTGGGTCTCTTCAAGTAAAAGTACTTTAGATGAAGTCAGAGTACACAAGACGCCTACAGGGGCTTTCTTTGGGAGATGTGGTTATTGGAATTCCTATGGTCTGATTTTGTTTGTTGCTTGGTGCATTTTACAATTGGCATTTTTTTTTTTGGAGGCTTGTGTGGTATGTGTGGAATATAACACTGACTTTTACAAATCTTCAAAAACCTGATAGCTTTTTTCAAACCAGCTTTGCACAGTCATTAGTTCCTAACTAGTTTTATAATAGCTATCTATGTCACTCAGGCTGCGAACCAAGCAAGACCCTACCAGTCATTCTCTGTCCCCAAGTCCAACACAGGGGGATGCCTGGGGAGCATGAGGGATATTCCTGCCCCACCCAAAGGATAGCCTCGGCCATGGGCAGGGACCCCTCTACCTCTTGTAGTTTCCTGCTGGACTTCCCATGGAGCCAGCTGGCAGGCAAACCTTCCGGCCTCAAGATCACCAACAGCTTGACGCACTATTTGTGTTCAGACAAGTTTGCGCACTGATCTTCAAGTAACGTGGCAAGTTTTAACAAATTCAACAACACCCTTACATTATGAATTAAACTTTAGAAACCACAAATAAAGGCGTATCTGGAATACAACCTGTTCCAACCAAATGTTCATGGACCTGAAGAAAAAAATGGGGGACAATTTGAAGATACCAAAGGATCTTACTTTAATTCTGGGGAGCAGTAGGCCTTCCCCATTCAGAGAAAACAGGGCAAACTGCACCACAGTATGCCTGGTAGGACATTAAACCAACCAGTGACTTTATCTGGTAATTTTTACACTTAGTCATCACTTTTTCCTCTTCCAGCTTTGCAAAGATTATCCACTTCTCTTTCAGCTTCTAAGAACTAACAGTGGTTAGCCTGGGCGGAGGGAGGGTTAGAGGGTACAGAGATCAATACCTCACTTTTCACTTAGTACAGTGGACTGAAAGGTGGCCCCCCAGAAGAGATGTCCATGTCCTA